TGTGTGTGTGTGTGTGTGTGTGTGTGTGTGTGTGTGTGTGTGTGTGTGTGTAAAACAGCCAAAGCAGGCTTTCTTCCCCCTCTGTATCTTGGTGGGGTTTCTTCTTCCCAACTGATGCACCCAAATCCTCCAAAGGGACAGGTTTGCTGTCACCCTTTGGTTCTGAAGGGACGGGAGGAGGGCAGCGTGAATCTTCCTTGCTCTAGCACACATATAATCTCCATATCAGTGCAGTGGCTGCACCTTTGATAATTCCACCTTTTAGGTCTGACACACCCAGAGAACCTGTAACATTGCTTTACACCATCTAAACTGGAGACAAGTTTACCAGCCAATTTCTCACCTGGACTGCCCAGTGGAGAGCTGTTTTAAAGTCTTTATCCACAAGAGTAGGGTCTGCTCCCTTTTTCAGCAGCATTTGAGTGTGTTGAGGCCGGTTGTGGAAAGCTGCCCAGTGGAGTGGTGTCATTCCCTACAAAACCACAGTCAGAAAGGGGAGAGGTGAGCACAGGCTATCAGGAAGGACAATGGAGCTCACACTTTCTCCCCAGACCCAAGGGCCATCACCAGATAGGTTGGTTGCTGCCAGTCAGTTCATTCATTCCTTAAACAGATATTTATTGAGGTTCTCCTTTGTGCCAGGAAAACAGGGATGGAGAATTCTACAGTGAATTAGATAAACAAGATCCTTGCCCTCGTGGGAACTGCAGTGTGGTAGAGGAAGACAGAGAACAAATGCAAATGAGCAAAAGGATTTTCCAGATGGTGCCATGCTATAAAGAATGCATACAGCGTGGGGTGAGGGACTAATTGTGGGCTTAGTGACTGTTCTGCACGGCCTCTATGAGCCAGGCTGGGGGAACAGAGTAGCGAGCACCAAGCCACAGAGGCAACCACCTGTGACTGGGGTCACGCTAAGCTGCCATATCCCACCACAGGGGGAGGGGCATTGTTTTAGTGCAGTATCCCCAGTGGCTACAACAGAGACTAGGTAAATAGCTGTTAAATGAAAGAATGAATGGAGAGGGAGAGAGAACCTTGTGAAATGAGTCTGGAGAGGGAGGCAGGGCTGATCCTGGGATGTGGGATGGGGGATACAATCTCTGTATAAATCATTTAGATTTTATTCTAAAGTCAATGGAAAGACAGTGAAGGGTTTTACGTGGGTGTTGACATGATCTGATTTACCCTGTTTAGAAGAAATCACTCTGTGGCAGCTTGTATGAGTCCATCTGGTGAATCTCAGCTTCTTTCAGAGCTTAAGGTCACATGCTTTAGACATCATTTAATAATACAATGAACTTATGCTGGGAAAGGTAACCATGAGGACTGGTATTATTTGGGAGTGTATTATGAAAAGATGGCCTCTTCTCCTTGCCCACACCTCTCAGTTACACAAAATATCTCTAAAATGACTCTAGATTAAGATGCTTGGTAAAGGGGGTAAAGAGTATGGGCAGCAGCTTTTAAGTTTTTTTCATAATCACCTCTGCAGATAACATAAAGGTAAGAGTCTAATACTTATCAATCCAATGGTCCTTATGAGTTCTTATGTATATTAATTCACCAAATCCTCCAAACAATCTTCTGAATTAAGTACTGTGCTGAAGTCTACTATGTGTTCCCCAAACTCTACCTCCTCTTCCTCCAGGGTGCAGAGGGTACATTCCCCAGCCTCCCAGCAGATAGGGGTGGCCTTGAGACTGAGCCCTGATCATTGCAATGCGGACAGAGGGGGTGGTAGCCCCTAGTAGGCCTGCCTAGAAAACAAAACCCACGTGGTCTCCCACACCTTCTCTCTTTCCTCATCCAACAAATGAATACAGAGAACAAGACTAGAGAAGATTCCAGAACCATGTAATTATGAAGCCCAGGACCCTGACTGATGGGGGAGACTCAGGCTATCCCGTCAACCAGGACTGGACTATGATTCTAGCAAGAAATAAGATTTTACTGTGTCAGGCCACTGATATTTTGAGTTGATTGCTATAGCGGTTGGCCAACTCTGACAGGTGCCGCTGTCCTTCTCGTTTTATAGAAGAGGAAGCTGAGCTCTAGAGAAGTTCCCAAGTCTGTGAGTGAGCACGGAACTGAATCTAGGGTTTGAGGTTTACGGGGCACTGGGATGAGAATGTTAATCCCCTAAGACCACTTTGAAAATTCTAAATCATTATATTATGGTCTGCTTTCAAGTTGTGTGAGTCACATAAGAGAGATATGCTCTTGAGGATATTTCAAGAAATTGGTTCCATATGGAAAAGAATGCTAATACAAAAGCAGGGGAACTTCTTGTTCTTATTCTGACAGCTGAATATTTACTAGGATTCAGAATAACTCCATGCATTTCAGTAAGTCCTCTTCATTTTAAGTGTGGCCCATTGGAACTAGAAATCTGGACTCAAGAAAATCAGATTATCTTTATTACGCCTGGATTTCTCCTTCTCAGTGCTGAATCCCATTTGCTTCAGACTCATTGGCTTCATCATGAAGTGCTACCAGTACTCAGGGTTAAAGACATCAAAGAAAACTTGAAGACACTCTAGTGTAAACTTCATGAGGGTAGGTCCTTGTCTGCTGTCTGAAGCCCTAGAGCTTAGAACAATGTCAGGACATTGTAGGTGCTGAGTAAGTTGTTATTTAAAATGAATGACTTCTTAACTGTCCTTGATTGAATTTTTTTGCTTTTGTAAAATTTAGCTTTGCTTTTAAAAACTACATAAATTAAAAAAGGCAAAACATGACTTCTCCTTTATAGAGAATCAATTTGTCTGATATGGTCATTGTTACCAACTCTTCAACTGAAACCTGGTAGAATTTTTGATCAGTTCTCCAAATAGGTATATGGCAATCATTCTATGCATAGGTATGATTTACTGATATGAGAACTCAGTGTGAAAATAAGGTTATGAATTAAGTTCTGATTATGCACTGCTAATCCTTGTCTCCTAAACACAACCGTTAAACTTCTAGAGTTATTTCCTTAAAACAACCCCACCCCCTGCCAAAAAAACCTTAAAAACCCAACTTCGGCATGCTCTGGTAAAGTGGTGGGGTGGAGCACTAGCATTTTTTGTATACCTTCTTCTTGTCAAGAAATTTATATATATTACCTCACTGAATATTTATATATATACACAATCTTAAGGGGTAGGCATTTGTAGGCCCATTTTACAGGTGAAGAAACTGAAACACAGGTTAAGTAATTTGCCTAAGGCTATGGGTACATGCCATAGTTGGGACTCAAATCCAGGTCTCTTCAATCCTGGAGAATAACATTCTTCCCACACATCAGGCTGGTAGGCTTTCATTTTGGAAATGAGCTCAAATGCTGGAGAATTCTTTTCTTTGTGATTTTAACTGGATTCAGGGTCATCTAACTTTTTGGAATGGTGGTTTTCATTAGCGAAAAGGTCACCATCCTATATTATTATTTGTTGCATTTGGCATTGCCTCTAGGCTCTTACTAAAAACACAGCTGGTGAGTATTTATTTTTGTAAGGTATTGAACTATAGATTTTCTCCCATCCCCCACCCTGGAATTTGGGTGATCATCTGACCCTAAATCAAAACTTGAATCATTCCATTCCTTCTTGAAATAATAATAATTATAAACACATACACACACATTGTTTATATTACACTACAACAAGTTGCAAACAGTCAAGTCAAGGGAACTTTTCCATTACTGTTTTTTCAGTTGGGCTAGTGAGAAATAAAAATAAAACCCCTTAGAGTTAGTAATATGAAAACCAAAACTTTCAAAATCAGCTTCAGTGCAGGCCCTGGCATTGCACAACATACTTTGATTAGGAAAGTAGGCTTTTTTTCTACAACTGCCTCCTTTTCCCTCCAGTCTGGGGAGCCGGAAGGCATCCCAGTTGTATTATGCGAAGGCTGGTGGCCATTTAAGGGGCTGACTTCAGGCTCAGAGACTGGCGTCTACATTGAGTGGTGACAGGTCACAGTTCAGCTGTGATGCACGTAGGCAGAGGCCGTGGCTTCTTTGTCGTGATATGTACAGCCCCGAGCACACAGTAAGTGTTAAAGAAATACTCACAGGAAGAATTAGTGAATTACAGGTTATCAAGGCTCCCTTGGACTCATGGAGAGTAGAAAATACGAGAGTCTGTCGAATGCAGGCCAGCCCTCTGTGTCCAAACTGTGGAGACCTTCTCTAACAGCTGCTTCCTGCAATTTCACTGAGGACTCAGTTGGGCCTCTGAAGCATCGAGGGGCTGAAAATCTGGGAGTCACTTGCAGACACGTTGCAACAAACACCCAGATGGCCCTGCTCAGAGTAGAACTCCACTTTTTTGAAAAACAAAAAGTATTGGCTCTGAGACTAAAAAGGAACTCACATGCACCTAAGAGCACAGGTCTCCAAAATGTTTTGAACAGAAATGTTCAGTTTTAGCTGGCGTTGAATCCATTTCGAGGTTTCTAAAAGGACTACATGTATGTCATGACTGTTGGGTGCCTAGCAGGTTGCTTTGGAACGGCGCTCTCACACAGATGAGTAATTCTGTGCCTTGAGATGAAATTTAAGGGCTTACAAGTCCTATCAATGTCTCAGAACTTTTTTTTTTTTCCCCAAACCACTGTAACTTCTGTGTTTTCTGAACCAGAAATCTGTTAAGTGCTCACTATGGCACCTTTAGACTGGCGTTAGCAGACACTGAAAGGCACAGAGAGAGAAATATGTGATGTGGCCAGGCATTTGCTGCACCCCTCAACTTTTTATCCTGGGGGATAAAATTATGTCAAGTGCTGAGAGGTAGCAAAAACAATTCTGGGTCCTTCAGAGAATCTAGATCTTCTAAAGGATCTAGAATTTCACAGAAGTCCAGTTTGGCTCTGGTTGATTTTTTTTTATTTATTTATTTATTTATTTATTTATTTATTTATTTATTTGACAAAGAGAGACACAGCGAGAGAGGGAACACAAGCAGGGGGAGTGGGAGAGGGAGAAGCAGGCTTCCTGCCAAGCAGGGAGCCCAATGTGGGGTTCGATCCCAGGACCCTGGGATCATGACCTGAGCCGAAGGCAGACGCTTAACCAACTGAGCCACCCAGCTGCGCCTATGGTTGACGTTTTAAAATTCACACACATACTATTGATCTCCCAATCACATATGACTACTCCTCACAAAAGTTGTCTCCTCTAGACAAAAACTAGGAATGAATGATGTGCTTTAAAAGATTTTTTAAAAAATAGATGGTTAGAAGTACAGGAATGAAAGCCATTTCCTTTCATTTTTATTTAGAAAATATTTTAGAATTATAGACCAAAAGATTAACAAATTATTTCATTGTCTTTGTTTTAGAGTTTTCCTATCTGGGTAAGTTGTGTATATCATAACAGCCAAAGATTATAACTGAAGACTGAAAATAATTAGATACTGGATTTTAGGACAGTAAGAATGGCTACTAATGATGATATTCTTTAAAAATGCTCACTCTCTCCCTGCAATA